TTCCTTAAGTATATTATTACTAATTACGGAATACTTAAGGAAATTATATTAGATAGAGATAAGATCTTTACTTCTAAATTTTAGAAATTAATTATATCGTAACTTAGTATTAAGTAAGCAATATCTACCGTATTTTACTTATAAACCGATAGATAAATAGAAAGAGTTAACTAGATCTTCGAAACCTACCTCCGCGCTTATGTTAATTATAACTAAGATAATTAAGTAGTATTCTTACTAATAGCTTAATTACTTATAATAGCGTAACTAGAAAAAGTATTAAGGAATCCCCCTTCTACCTTAATTATAGATTTAAACTAACTACTTATAGAAAACCTTAAGCTAGCCTAGTAATACTTAAGGCTATTGCTATAGTTAAATAAATTAAAGATATTTAAGATAACATATATAAAGAACTCGAATTCGTATAATAACGAATAACGAAATTTAGTAATAAACGAAGGATTAAGAGACTAACCTTAAAAGAAAGAGATAGCGCTTACTTTATATAGCGAAATATTAAATAAAACGACTAAACGATAAACTAGACTTAAAAAACTTAGACTTTTTAAGATCTTCCGAAAAGTTTTACTAGTTAATTACGAACTCGACCTACTCGATATAATAAAGTATTTTCTAACATTCTATATTTCGCTATTTAAACTAGTATTATAAAGATTATAGATAAACAACCTTATTATTATAAAAGAAACAAACTAAAGTATAAAGTCGAACGAATTATCGACTACTTTAAAAAACTAAAAGGATATTAATACCTTATTAAGTAGAAAGGATATAGTTACGAAGATAATATATAGGAACTAGCTAAGAATATTATTAATACAAAAGACGAACTTATAACCTATTAGTAATAATATTAAGAATAAGAAACGATGCTAGCAGCGCTAGCGATAATAGCCTTAATAGATACTACTAGTTACTAGCATATTAAGCAACCTTATAAGTATATATAATTACTAACAGAAATAGATAGACTATAATAAGGAAAACTATTTATTTACTTAGGAATATTAAAAAGTAACTAAAAACTATTAGAAGATACTAACTACGAATCCCTTAATAAAAAGCTAAGATTTATAACTCCTTGCTAATACTAAAACTTACTTAATCCGGATTATTCTCTATACCTTAAAACTAAAGATTACTAACTATACTATTCTTATAAATATCTAATATAGGAAGAACATTATCTTCTTCTAACTTTTATATCCTTCGAGAAAACGTCTTTATATATTACTTTTTTACTTTCTTCTAAATTATACGGATCTATGATAATCGACTAGCTGCTTTAGCTACCTCGGCTTAAACCTATGCTAACTTTTTATAAAGATCTAGCAGTATATTACTAGCCTACTCTTCCTTCTCTTCCTACTCCTAACGCTAATCGCTTAGCCTTTTTACTACGACTAATTAGTATATATATAGCATACGAACGCTACAAAGACTTACGACTAGACGCTACTACGAGACTATTATAAGGATGCTTTAGGTTTTTATAACCTTAATAAGTTTTTACGCTTTCTGCTATCCGATATATATGCTTTATACGGAAGTAGTAAGTATATAGCATAACGTCGTTAGAACTAAAGCGATAAAAAACGTCTTTATAAGTAGAACGAAATACTAACTTAGATTATTTTGATTTTTAAATATAACCTAACATAGTATTAGCATTATAAGTAAATCGGGAAGCATGATTAATAAATCCCTAACCTAGGACTAACGACCTACTTATGTTAGGTTTTGAAGATAAACCTTTAGAAAGAAGACTTAATATTACGACTTATAAACAAGGATAATAGCTAAACGACTTATTTAGACGTTAAGCAGCTATAATAAGATATTTATACTATAAAATCATAAGAATAATAAGGATTTACTTAGAAATAGAAGAACTATAGTATAAGTTACGTAACGATAAGATAAGAGATTAGATCTATATGCTAAGAATACGGAGTCCGTCCTTAGCATATATAGGATCCGTATAAACGAGGAATAGACCCCGTTAGGATTAGGAATAGTAAAACAAACAAAAGGTACTATTCGGACTTATATATAATATAACCTAAGTGTTACGACCCGATAGTTAACAGACCACTGACGACGACCCCGCAGGGGCTCAGCGGTTATAGGGACGGCCGTCAGCCGTTACGTCGTAACAACCCCCACGGAACGGAAGAACTAGGATACAGGTCACGTGACGATAAGCAGGACCGACGGACGATAAGCGGTCCTGGGACAGGACCGACGGTGCCAAGGGCGGTCCATGGCGATAGACCGACGTCCTGGGTGTCGGTCCCCCAGGATCAGGAAGTGTTCAGCATGGAACCAGACTTGTATATAGTTGGGACTCGAGTCCTCTCGAGTCCTACCTTTCCTAGTTCTTCAGCAATCAACTTTGTGATTACCCTAACCGGTACTTTCAGCTATACCTAAGTGACGACTACTCTACGACTCTTGTTGAGGCCTTGACTGATCACCAAGACCTTTGAAGATCTACGATCTATTCGACCAGGACCACGGAACGACTGTTACTACTCTCAATCCCTGGCTTACTGTTAACACAAACCCACTGTCAGTTAGCTGGCCGTAACACTAAGCTCGACTTATAGTCAGACTTCTATAGCTTTTTAGCAATTAACTTTATATTTATCCTCAGGATACTTTCAGCTTACCTTTACTACGAATACTTGTTAAGCCTAAGATTGATCACCTTAGCCTCTGACTACCGATCTACGATACAGCCTATGTTACGACCCGTCAGATGTACTTAACAGACCCACTGGGTCGGGCGGCTACGACAGGACATATGTACGTAGATTGATTGATTGATTTATTCCTACTCGGTTATGAAGCCGCTCTTATGCCAGCAGCTATGCCCGGAAAGCGGGGTTTGGCAGGTAGCCGAAGCGTCGACAATGAACAGCGACGCCCCACTTCGCCCTGATGTTGCATCAGGGCCAGCTATCCCCAAGCTCCCCACTATGTTCTCTATTCTGTGTGTTTGTGCCCTCTGTTGAAGAAGTGTGTTGCTCTCCTGTCTGCTTTCTCGCTTTTGTGTTGCTCTCTAGAATGCTTGTTTTGCGTCCTCCTGCTTCGGTTTAGTTGGTGCTAGTAGCACCGTATCTGGTTCTTTGTACCTACAGTCTCCCCCTAGCGCTCAGCTTTGTCTCTTTGTTTTGTCCGTATCCTCCCGGACTTGTATGTGCCGTTTTCTCAGTTGCATCTGTAAATTCTTTGTTGCCTCCTGCCGGGTTCCTATGTGGCCTCTTGTTTCTTGCCTGTTGACCACTATTGCCCTCTACTACATTGGCCTAAGGGTCTTCCACGAAGCATAATGCTCTACTGACTCCGACATGTTCGATTACTAGGTATGAGAGCTCCCGCACAGATTCCGCAGACATTGTCGCGCGTTGAAGGGACACCAATCCTTCTTCGCAAAAGGGGCGACAGGGGACCAGTCTGTCTGTGGTCTGTAGTATTGTGTGGCATCGATCGTAGCATGCCTAATGCCTGGTGCTTTCTCCGTGCGGAAGGTGATACTGTTCTGTCGGACTCATCTTCGTCGTTGTGGGACGTTGCAAACTTTGTCGGGGGTGACAGGTGACCTAAAACCTGTCGGCGGCTGTTGTGTTGAAGTTGATTGTTTGGGCGCAGTCTTAGTGCTTCGTGTAGCGGCTTGTGGCTCGCCTGTGGTGGTGGTAACAGTGTTGTCTATTGATATGTCGTATTTTGCGGCTTGCTCTCAAGTTTTTCATTGTAGTCGGGGCGTGCTCTGCGGCCATCTTGGGCCCCTTTGGGACGTAGAATCAAGGCCGAGGATGGCATTGCATCGAAGGGGGCTCTGTGGCCGCGAGCACGCGTATTTGGGGCCGTTTTTGCTCCGATTTTCAAAAATTTCGTTCTCGCTGTTGTTGATGTTTTCGACATATGTACGTAGGATCACGGGAACAAGGGTAAACCTCTCGGCAAGGAAGAACTATGTTACAAGTCACGTGACAATCGACCAATCAGGACAGAGTCGACAGAGTCGACGAGCGACTCTGTAGACTCCTGTAAAGGACCAATCAGAAGAGAGTCGATAGAGTCGACGAGCGACTCTATAGACTCTCCAAGACATTGGGAAACGGGACTTGTATATAGACCAGGACTTGAGCATCTGCTCAAGCCCTCTAGATGGTTCTTCAGCAATCAACTTGTGATTCATCCTCGAATGACTTTCAGCTTACCTCTCAGTATTGTGAATACTAAGAACCTCGTTACTATAGTGTAAGACTGATCACCTTACCCTAACCCTACGATCTACCAGAACGACCCCTACGAACCAGTGTTAGTCTCTTACTGCACCTTCTGTTAGCAGAACCCTACTGTCAGATAGCTGGCCGTTACAGCCTACGACCTACGAACCAGACTTACGACACGACAATACTGTTTACTAGCGTCAATCCCTAACTTCTGTTAGCAGACCCTACTGTCGGATAGCTGACCGTAACATAGAGGCTATCTTATTAACTACGAATTAGTAATAGATATAAACTAGCTAATTTAACGATCTATATTTCTCTTAATACTAACTAAAATAATACTTACTATTCGAGTAGAAGTTATAGTATCTATATCTTATTAGCTAGTATCCCGCAGGCTAAATATATATTACTAATTCATAGTTAATAGGATAAGTAAAGTTTTATTTAAGTTTACTATGTGCTAGCTATTATGAGTATCTCGGAAAGCTTATATTGACTTTGTTAGTGATAGCTATAAGTTGTTAACTTTTTCTACTAAATTAAGATTAGACGCGTAAGCTCAAAAAACTTTTTTTTCACTAGAATCTAACTAAATTATATGACTAGTAAAGCCTAGATCAGGACAGCATTTAAAAATATATATTTACATCATTTCTTATAACCTATTGATCTTTAACACAGGATCTTTTAATATTATACCTATTACTCAAACAAATTTTATCTACCTTTAAAATGAGGCCTTCTCTTATTATTGCGGCAGTCCTTCCCGCTAGTTGTATAGCTATCCCTCTCTCTCAAGTTGAAGATTCTACCACCAAGTTCTCGCTAAGCAATGTGGATGTCACCCCGGCACAGCCAGAACCCCTCAATACAAGCTTCGCAACTATTCGCCCTCGAGACGCCCGCTCCAATCCACCATGCCCACCTGGGCAGACGTTCGACCGCTCTATCTGTTTTACCTCCGACATCGTGAGCCGCTTTTGTAACGGACCTCCAGGTCAAGCTGGGGAGAGGAGGGAGATTTACTGTTTCTCTGATGAGGTCTGCGTGCAGCGCCGATTAAGCGATGGAAGAACTTTTGCTGAATGCCATCCGATCGCCACGCTTATAAGATGGAAGTCAGACCCAAATGGGAATAAGGAAGGCTGTACTTCGATAAGTGAAAAGAAAGGGAGATTTCATAACGTAGGAACAATTGTTTATGATATAAATAAGCACCCTATCCAAGTCGGCAAGATTACATACCTTAGAGAACCTGGTAATATAGATAAGGGAATTAGGGGATCAACATCTTTCTTTGATAGTGACGTCTGGAATTTCGCTAATAATCAGTTCATGCGTGGTAAGTATGAATTACTAATCTATTAATATAAGATAATATTATACTAGCAAGCATATAGTTTGTGTTCTTTCTTCTGGTGCACCAAATTTAAATAATATTTCGTGGCTTTGGTAATCAAGTTAATGGATGTTATAGCTCTAAATGTATACTAAAAAGCTAGGGAGGCGTTTCAAAAAACCCGAGATTGATAATTTTGTGAGATAATTCTAACTAGTTAGTATTTAAAACCGATAAGATACTTAGTTTATACTCGTGTAATTTCCAGGAAGGCTCTTCAACCACTTCACAATCGACAAATCCAGCTTTGCTCACCCTGCTTTCCTAACTTACCCTGGTTGAACCACTTTGTGGCCTAGCTCACCCACTTCCTCGCCCTTAAAGCAGCGTGGCTGTCACAGTTCTTCCTGCTAGCACGTGGCTACAACAGGCAGAGGTCGGAACCGTGATAAGAATAGAGATGTAAATAGAATAGTGCAGAAGTCAAACAAACGGTCACAAGGCAATAAACAACGATGAATTGATAAACGTAGGTATAAGCAGTTGGTCCTCTATTGAGTTGGTCTACTGACGATGATGCTGTCGAGGGCGTCTCTTATACGGGTACGGCCAGCACGTGAGATATCACGTGCCCCTGATGACTGTTCATAGAACTGTGACAGGTGCCCCTCCCAAAAAAAGACGATCGTCCCGATCGACAGTAAAAATGAAAACTAATTACATGAATTTGTCCCTTCCATTACCCATCTATCGCGAAGAATCACGACCCTGACGATGAAATCCTATCCTAATCGCGGTCCAGCATGTTACTAAAGCGGCTCTGCTTAGCCGGGCCTGCGATGTTCTCGGTGGCGACGCGCTTGTCGCCCTTCTGCAACTTGGCAACAGCTTCGCGCAGTTCCACGATCTTACCGCGGAGGGCTGCAATTTCGTCATCCTTGGTAGCGATGACGCGGTTGACCTCTGCGGCGATCATTTCCTTGCTGGCAGCAGTCGCTTCGAGTGCTTTGAGGCGATCGTTGACGCTCGCGACGTCGACGGTGGACTGGGCTTTCTCGTCGAGTTCGTTGAGGCGAGGGATGATCTCCTCGTTGACGCCGTCAACGATTTTCTTCACATTCTTGGTGACCGTCTCGTTCATTCCGTGAACGTCACCTTCGAAAGCCTGAAGCGCCTTTTCCATATTCTTGAGTTGCTTGCGAGCGGTTGTATCGGTGGCGGTCATGTAGCTGATATTCACGAGCGGGGGAACAGAGGAGGTCGGCTCGGTGAACAGCAATGAGGTGGCCCGCGATGGTACCGTTGACCTGACCGTCGCCAGTATAAAAGACGGTTGCGAGAACCTGGGCGCGGGACGGCAAGTGTTCCGTGTACGAGGCGTTGTTGTTGTACGCGGTGTAGGCGCGTTTGCAAGCGTCCTGAACGCGACGAATGAACAGGTTGGAGGAGGGGGTGGCTGGGCCGGTGAAGTTGTCGAGACAAGCCTCGATCTCCTCGAGCAACATATCGTCCGGGTAGAAGGCGAACGCGTCCTGGGCGCGCTTTTTAGCGTCTCGGACCTGGGTGCTATCGACCTTGGTAGCGGCACGCTTCTTCTTCTTGGGGGTGCCGGACTTCTTGCCAGCCTTGGCCTTCTTAGCCTTGGGGGCGGGAGTGGCCTCGACGGCTGAGGCGTCGGACTCCTCCTCCTCGCTGGACTCGTCAACTGGCTCGGGGTTGCTCTTCTTGGCCTTCTTCTTGGCCTTGCCCTTGCTGGTCTTCTTGGGCTGGTCTTCCTCGACCGTCTCGGTAGGTTCGGCGTGGGCTTCGTGGGCCTTGTTAGCCTCGTCGGCGTCGAACATGGTGGTGTCCTGCTGGTCACCAGTGTGTTCAGTGGCGGCCACGGTGATTTCCTCGGCGGCGCTCTCGCTGACGACGTGAAGTTCCTCGTCGGCCAGGCCGAAGTTGTCTCCGAGGTTCTCGTCGTCGGTCTGGGTCTCGTTGTTGCCTACGTCGCTTCCGGGGGCTGCGACGGAGCCGGTGGGGGTTTCGGCGATCTCGTCGGTGTCTTGGCGAGTGCGTTGGGAAGACATCTTCGCGTTCTTGATGTCGAATCTCGCAATTGGGACGTGTAGTAGTGGTAAGTTGAAAGTCTTGATGAGAATAGAAGGGGTTTGTGATGTGTTATGAAGTGGGAGATTTGTTGATTTTCTGTTGTGTGGGTGGAAGTGGGATTTATATAGTAGGAAAAGTTCACTTTTTGTGGTGGTGGTGGTGAAAGTGAAAAGGCAGAGTTTTTCGCTGCCTATGAGGCAAGTGCCTAAGAAGGGAAGGAACGAGTGTTTTGTGCGAAATTCCATTACGTTAACAAAGGGAATAATCTCGCTGATATCGCTTTATTAGGAATCAGCTGTTTTGTCGCAGAATAGCGACATTGTTCTAGTTGTTTCGTTGTTGGCGTCGCTTGGAGCGGTAGGTTGGTGTAACCTCCGCGTCGACGGGATATCTCGCCTCATACTCGTTGACGAGCTCTGCTGCGTTGGTCTCAAGCGATTCGCGAAGCTCCCAGGTGTCGAACCTTGCGGTAAATCCCTTCCAGCGAACGAGATATTCGATCCTTGGCTCGCGTTTTCTCCGGTTGATTCTGCGGCTTACAATGTGGTCGATTTCCCATTCTTCGCTGCCGTCAACCTCGATAGGTTGGGGCGGCTGTTGTTCACGGTTGAATGGGTCGTCTCCCTGGGCTGGCTTGTATAGCTGCGCTACCGATAGGATTGGAAAAATTCGCCAATGGGCCGGGAGGTCGACTTCGTAAGCTGTTGGGCTCACAATTCGAACGATTCGAAAGGGGCCCATACGTCGTGACGTCCACTTGTTATGGCGTTGGCCAGGTAAGTGGAAGCCCTTCCCTAGTCTTATCCAAACCTCGTCGCCAACGGAGAATCTGACGTCTGAGTGCTTTTTGTCGTAGCGTTCCTTTCTCAGCGAGTTCGCTATATCGATCAAAGCCGCTGCCTCGTCCTGGTATATCTTTCTTATGACGTCGATAGACTCGGTTGGAGCGTCTTTTTCCGCGATGACGTCGAGAGTGCTTCGAGGCTTGAATCCGTATACGACCTCATTGGGAGATCTCCCGATCGTTGCGGTGTACGAGTTGTTGAGGTTGTGTTGCAGCGCTGGGAGAACCTCTGGCCATGGGGTTTCCGGGTACTCTGAAAGTTGGAATCGGATTGCAATTTCCGCTGTTTGGTTTGTTCTCTCGCTCTGGCCGTCAGTCTGTGGGTGGTAGGCTGTCGACAAGAGCAGTTTCACTCCGAGAGTGCGGAATATCGCGGTCCAGACGGCTGAGATGAACTTGGGGTCTCTGTCGCTGATGATACGACGTGGAAGTCCCCAGTCAGCCAGTTGGAAGGCCCTAATAAGGACTATTGCCCACTCCTTGGCTCCGTACGTGGTGTGGCCTGGTAGAAGTATAACTTTCTTCGAGAATTTGTCCGTTGTGGGCGCAAGCGTATCAAACCACTCGAATCCAGGTAGTGCCCACGGACTCCCTCGTGCTTCTACTTTCGGTAAATCGGTAACGAAGTCGATTGTTACGGTATCGAAGGGGATTCCCACGACTGGAATCGGCTGCAGGGTGCCTGGTGGTCTTTGCCGGTCGACTTGGTTTTCCTTACATCTCGGGCAGTAGGCGATATATCGCTTTACTACCGATCGCTTGTTTCGTATCTGGAAGCTGGCTAGCTCTGCTAGCATGCGGTCTACGCCGAAATGGTGCTTTTGATCGTGGGCAAGGCTGAGAACTTCCACGACGGCTTTGCGTGGGATACACAGCCTTTTTGTCCCATCATACGCACGGTGGAATAGGAAGCCTGTCTCTGATAGTTGCCACGGGGAGATTCGACGACGAATCGGCGTGCGCCTCTCGTTCCGAGCGCGATTTTCCTCGTCGTCTGCCTCCTTAGGTGACCACCACTCATCGCCACTCTCTTGTTGTCTCTTGAGTTGCTGGATCAGTTTTCCGTACTTTGGGTCGGCTTCGTAATTTTCAACGATGGTTTTGGCGAAGTCTTCGCCTATCCCAATCGTGAACCCTCCTGGTTCTCCCAACCGTTCGTCGTCCTCTGAGTTGAAAGCTGCGATATTCTCATCGTCGTGAATATCTGCGAGTACGTCGCTTTCTTCGAACGGGTCTGCTCTACCTGTTGCCACCAGCAACGGTAGACGCGAGAGAGCGTCGGGTACAACGTTGAGTTTCCCTGGGACGTGGGTGACGTTGAGGTTGAATTGAGAGAGGTAGTTGGCGGCACTCGCCAACCGAAGGTTTGCTTTGTTGAGATCCATCGTTCTCAACGACGTGTGGGTGAGAATTCCCTTTGTGGCTGCGTGGTCCGTAAGGATCTGTACTGGGTTCCTGTTTGATTGCACCAGTTTCCTAAGTTTCCTTACTGCCCACACCACTGCTGCTACCTCCGCCTCGGTCGCGAAGTATCGCTTCTCTGTTGGGGATGTTACTTTTGAGAGAAACAGCACTGGTTGGATATGCTTTTGTGGGATGTCTTTTCCGGGAATTCCTACGCCGTCCCAGGTAATATCCATCTGGAACACCATAAGCCCGAATCCTCCCTTGCAAGCGTCGATCTTAAAGAATAAGGGTTTTTCTGGGTTATGGTGGTATCTCACGACCTGGTCGCAGAGATTCTTTTGTAACGTTTCCCATGCTTCCGTTTCTTCTAGCGTTGGCTCGAAAGTCGTACGTTGGAACCGTTTAGTTCTTACAGCCCTATTGAGGCCTGTTGGCAACTGGTCCTCCTTGCGTAGGATCGCGGCTAGCTCGGTTTTCCTTTCGTTAAGGGGGGCTGCGATCACGTCGTACCATGGAATGTCTTTTCGAAGCCATCCTGCCATTCCGAGGTATTTCTCGAGATCGCTAAGGTTTTTTGGGAACCTGAGATTCTTAAATGCAGCGATTCGATCGTCCGTTCTGCGTATCCCTTGTCCGTCCACGATATGGCCGAGAAGTTTCACGGAAGGGAAACCAGCGAATGAC